TGGCCTGTCTTGCCTGTTCAAGACGAGCATGGTGCTCGCGTGCTTTTTGCTGGTCGGTCTCTCGGCGAGACGTACGTGCCTCGAGCTCAGGGGTTGAGAGCCGAGGGACAGCCACAGCAGCGGTCTCCTGAGAGACAGTAGCAAGCTGACGGGGGATGCCGCCGGAGCCAGTACCCTCACTGGCGCCTGGCGACACCGCAGTACTCGTCCCCGGTGTTCCGAGTTGACCCCCAGCGGGAGGAGACAAGTTTATATCTTTCATCTTGATGGGCTTTCGAGTCCATCCATGTACATATGATGCGCCGCCCATGCTTGGTGGCGCTCTTCTTTTTCCATGGCCTGTGGGTTCTGGTGAGCGCTGTGGCCTTTCTTTGCACAACGATTCGATTGCTGGCAGGGTCGCGTCGGAACGCGGCGGTCTCTGCGAAACAGCTCTGGCCTCGTCCATGCTACTTGCTTGCGATAGCGTGACCTTTGCTCGTGTGAAGTGACTACCCTTTCCTTCCTGTCCCTTCGGTGGCAAGCCCTGTGCTTGTCTGATCATGACATCGAAATAATGGCGATGGCATGCTGCTGCTGAGTGGCCGAAGAAAAACACACGCTAGCAAGAGCCTTCCCAGCCCCCAAACATCTCTCCAACGCCACAAAACAGGCCACCACCACTACCAACGCCACGCACCTGTCCCATGAGGCGCATGAAGTACCAGTACTTCCTCGCGCTCGCCCCGTCGATGGCGGTGTTGCCCACCAGCTGGGAGTAGACCTTGACAGCGGTGTCGAACCCGACGGCGCTCTCCTGCAGTGCACGGCGGGCGGGCGGGCAGGGGAGCAGCGTCACAAGCAGAAGGAGTCAAAACCATGAGCAACAACAACGACCCACGCAGACGTCATCCCGCATGAAGTTGCCAAGTCCTGGTCTCTACCCCTGCTCCAATCAGGCCCTTTAGCTCCTCGAGTTTTCCAATTTCAGAAGGAAGGAAGGCCAGCGCTGGTTGGTGATGCGCGCGTTTTCGTTGCTGATGACGGGGCAATTTCGCCTCTTCAGCGTACGCGTTCCAACGACAAAAGAAGACCCAACGCTGATTGCTTGTTCGAAGTTGTTAATAAACTCCCGACGCCGACAAGAGCACGCGACAGATGACGGCAACAACAAAAGCGGAAACAGCCACAGCCAAAAAAAAACTTGATGCCGCGAGTTCGGTCTGTCCACCCCGTCATTTCACTCACCACAAAGTTGTTCTTCATGCCGCCGCTGATGGTGCAAGGCACGCACGCGACGCTGGTCTTGAGGCCGGCGGTGTGGAAGTACTCCGACAGGTACGCTGCGTCGGTGGCCGTGGTGTTGCCGCCGATCACCTTAGCAAGTAGAACAATAAGACCGGGTGACACATCAGAATAAGTAGCATGTGGAAATGTGTGGGTTGTTGAGGTCGCAAGGCAGGAAAAAGACAGGTGAGGAGGAGAAAAAGACACGGAGGAGGAGGAGGAGGAGGAGAGAGAGAGAGAGAGAGAGAGAGAGAGAGAGAGAGACAGGAAGAGAGGTTCGTGGTGGGCTTACGAGCACCTCAAGGACACAAAAAAAAATATTCGTATGGCGACAACGACACTACTATTGGCAACAACAACAACAACAACAACAACAACAACAACAACAACAACAACAACAACATCAACAACATCAACATCAACATCAACAACAACAACAACAACAACAACAACAACAACAACAGGCTAAAGGCGATGATAAGACGCTAGAACATTCCCCGAACAAGCACCAAAAAAGCCACGGACGCCAGAGCTACCAACACCTCACCACCAGCCCATCAAGGTCCAGCGCCGCGCAAGCCTCCTTGGCCTTGGCGAGCTCCGCCTCGGTGCGGATGGAGTCCCGGCTGCGCCCGAGGAGGTCGAACCCGCCCTGGTTCCGGTAGGCGTCGAGGAGCTCGTCCGTCACCTCGACCGTGGACTGCTCGAAGAGACCGACCGTGCCTCCGACCACGCCGAGCACCTGCCAGTTTTTGTGTGTGGTAGCACACAAACGTACCAGTACATACATCAGAATCGGAACCTGTTGTGGTGGTGTTGTGTCCCCACACGAAAGGTGTCAAAGCGTCTACGTGAGAGCTGCAGACCTGCTGCAACTGTGTGAATGGGTCTGCAACTTTGGTTGGATTTATTGGAACCCATCGCATGGGGTAGCAGGGCGTGAGAGACCGTTTCGTTTTTGAGAGAAAACTGTTGGGATCTCGGCATCAGCGAGACCTGCCCCCAAGTTAGCAACACAACACGGCACGACGCCATTCAAAAGAGCTCCCATACCAGGGGCACGACAAACGCGCATCATGACAAAACAGGTACTCAAGGGTAAGCCAGCAGCAGCATGCATTGCAGCGTCATCGACTCCCGACATCACGTCGTTGGCAGTCTATAAACAATGAAGCACACCGACGTTGTCAACAACCCACACACGTGCGTGCCGCGTGCCGCTTGATGTTCAATCTCGGGCCCGTGTAGACACTCGTTCAGATCCCCCCCCCCCAACATACTACGGGGTCCCCCCCCCCCTAGACACTAGGATTAAGAGGTTTATTCTCTTGAATGTGATTGTACCTAAGCTAGAGTATGCAGGAGAGGTATGGGAAGGTAACGAAAAGGCCGTCAAGCAGCTGGAAACGGTGCAGATGGCAGCGGCCAAGAAAATATTAGGATGTTCAAGTACAACGAGCAACACTGTACTGAGAGCAGAATTG